AAGTATCACTCGACCTTTTCTTTATCCCTCTATATACCCTCCCCCCTTTCTGATATGAAAAGCAATAAAATTCTCTCCTTTTTAGGAGAGTTTATATTAAAAAAAAGAAAACCCTGAAGCTGTGTCGCCACCGCCCTCTCAATCAATTTACCCAAATAGGGCAAATTAGACACCGGCCGATAGTTGGCCAATTCGGCCGGGTCTAAAGTCGTTTTTTTCAGGAGAGGGCGGACCATCGCTTCCTTGAGTGCCTCAGGGAACTGTCCCTCCACGAGGGACTTGTTAATAATCTCCCGTACGGCACCTCAAAACCCCTCATGGCCCACCTTAATGAGCCAGGAAGGGCACGGATCCAAGGAGCATGTGGTTGTCGCGGCGGAGCACCAAGACTTTATCCACAAAATAGCTCGCAAAAGCCTCACAGCCGATGTCCAATTCCCTACTGTTTTGTCTGCCCTGTGGCAGAGTTGTCAAAGACCGAATTGTTCTAAACAATTGAGCTGGGCGTGAGCTAGCGGGCGCAATCGCAGCTGCATAGAATTCCTTCTTAGCAGCTTTGACCGCCATCTCATAGGATCTCATAAACGTCCTATAGGATGTTCTTGATGCTTCGTCACGAGCACGCCGCCACCGTCTCTCTAGCCGTCTAAGTTCCTGTTTCATAAGCCGCAGCCCCTGGGTATACCAGGGGGCCAGCCTAGTATGGGGGCGCAGAGGGTGCCGGGGAGCGATCTCATCAATAGCTGTGGAGAGCTGGTCATGCCAGTCCCCTACAAGCTCATCTAATGAGCCGCCAGGGGGCATCGGATCCCGCAGAGCCATCTGAAGCCGTACGTGGTCCCTTTGGCTCCGTGGGCGAGCTAAAATCTGCTCGCCGCCTAAACAGGGTCGGGGTGGGACGTTCAAACGGGCCTTCAGGGAGTAGTGGTCCAACCATGGTACTGCCGTAGCAGTAATCCGGTCCACTGTAATCCCCGCAGCGAAGATCAAGTCGAGCGTGTGCCCGGCCTGGTGCGTGGGGATCGATACACATTGGGAGAGCCCCAGTGCCGCCATGGACGACACTAGGTCCGTAGCCCGGCTGGAGGCCGCGCCATCAGCATGGACGTTGAAATCACCCAAGACCAGAAGCCTCGGGTGCTCCAACGCCCAGCCCGACACGGCCTCCAGCAGGGACGGCAGGCCACTGGCCGGTGCGTTAGGCGGTCGGTACACTAGCCAGATAGCCAAGTTCTCTGTCTCCAGCACCAGGCCGGCACACTCCATGCCCGTGATCTCCGGTGAGGGGAGGGCCCTGAAGGAGTAAGCCTCCCGCACGAACAACGCCACTCCTCCCCCCCGCCCCTTAGTCCGCGATTGGTGTACGACTGAGAACCCAGGTGGGGCAAGTTGGGAGAGAGCAACAGTCTCCCCATCCCGCACCCAGGTCTCAGTCATGCACGCCAGGTCCGCTTGTTGTTCCATGACGAAGTCCCGCAGGACTGTCGTCTTGTTGTTAATGGACCTGGTGTTACAGAACACCAATGACGGAGAGGGGTTCATCTTCCGAGCCCCACTGCTGACCTCCCTTGGGATGGGTCGCAGGCTGGAAGGGCACCGAGCCATTCTTTTTCTTGGGGCCCTTCCCTTGATGTTATGCCTAGACCCACCGCTGAACTTTCCCCTCCCCAAGAGCACCGGAATCTGCTGCACTGGCATTGCTATATCTGCCGGTCTATGCTGTAGCCACAGGCTTCTGGTATTGGCTACACTGGGCAGCTCCACCAACCAGGCGGATTCCAACTGCGTCAGGTTCAGTCACATTGAAACAAGTAGCTCCTGCTCTGTCACTCTCTGGTTCCCTCTAGTACAAAAAGTAACCCAATGGCTCTCTAATGTACAATATATCCCTTAACTGCTCTGCTCTACTCTAACCCTACCAGGAAATCCCAACCTTGACCCCTCCTAAAGATTACCTTCTAGAGACCGTTACTACCATCTAATATTACCCTAACCATTCACAGAATGGTACTAATCTATACTATATTGCCCATTACAATACCTCATTCACAAAATGATTGTTAGCTATTACAGTAATACAATTTACTCACAATTCATTGCTAACAATTATAATACTAGACAATATAAAACAATTCATCCTTCAATAGTTCATCTCTAAAAAACAAAAAACCTGGCAATAACAAACAATCACTTTCATTTAACAACAGACACTAGAGTCCAATAATCCACAACATACTCACTCCGTACATCCACGCAGCACAGCAGGAGCTACTGTTGGATCAGATCCAATTTAAACGATAAATAAGTGGGTTTTGGGTCGCAGTTTGGGCACTCGGTCTCTAAAAGGTTCGCCATCACTGGGCTACAGGCATGGTTTGATTCTATTCATATTTTACTGGAGTGTTTTAGAAAGCACTTCTACATTTTATTATTATAACTAAGAATGTTTTCCCCTCTGTTGGAATCATTTTCTGCCAACTGAAGTAATAAACTCATTAGGAGAGTTGGGCAAATTCAGCCCTCATAATAATTCCATCTCCATACACCAGAGAACTGTGAATCCTCTGTAAGTTTGCTGCTCAATCTTTATGCATATTTTTTGCACAAGAGTTATTAAGGACTCTCTTTTATTTGGCTGGTTTGGAGATGTGTTGTAGGTCTCATGGTTCCTCCTACCCTTCTATTTCTGAGTTTCATCTAACTGTTCTGTGCTGTGCAATCCAAACTGGACAAACTTTGTTTAGCTCCAACTGATGATTTGAAACCATAGTCTGAGGTGGGTTTGGAGTTTAGCACTAAATCATAGCTTATTGATTTGGCAAACTATCTCATGGCTAACTGTGGCCAGAGG